TATCGTCTCCTTCTCTCGCTATCTTGCTTCAAATCTACCGCCGCCCTACTCTTTCCCCTTCTCTCTCCGAGTCATCACCTGTTCTCTCAGCCTTTCTTACTCTTCACCTGCGATGTCACCACCTCTCAACCGCCTGCCATTTCACTAAGGTGTCCCTAACTTTTTTCTGACCACACACCGTTACTACCTAATATCTCCTCTCCTATTTTTCCTTGCTTCTCGTCACCACTTCCACCGCCGTCGCCACCTCTCCCTTCCCCCCATCACTACTCTCCTCTTTGCTGCTACTCCTAATCTCACTCTACGCCTTATTTTTCGCTCTATCGCGCTCGCTAACCACCCGCTTCCACTCCTACACCGGGAGTCCCTCTCTCTCCCTTATTAATTAATCACATATTATTTTATTTTTCAGACTCCCTTGTACTTTTTCAATCTTTTTCATTCTTACTCATTCTACTTCATTCTATCTCATATTATTTTATTTTGTTTGATTCACTCTCAGTTACGTTCTTTCACCACTATCTTCATGTAGTCTCCTCCCACTATCTTCATATAGTTTCCTTCATTCTCATCCATTCTGCATCATTTTTCTAATTTTATTGCGTTATCTTCTCTCATTCTTCTTTATTCTTACTTGTTCTCACTCATTCATTTTCGCTTATTGTCTTCTCTTTATTTCTCTCATTTTTTTTTATCTTCTCTGATTTTTGTTCATATCCTATTATTCAATTTTATCCTCATCTATTCCCTTAAATTCATATCCTGTCGTCCTAATTTTGACTCTTTTCGCATTTTACAGTCATTTTTCTTATTCTCACTAATTCTCTCTCTCTCTCGCTCTCCCTCTCCCCCTTCTCTCTCCCTCTCTCCTTCTGCCTTCTCTATATCCCCTCTCTCTCTCTCTCTCTCTCTCTCTCTCTCTCTCTCTCTCTCTCTCTCTCTCTCTCTCTCTCCTTTTTTCCCACTCTTTCTCTCTCTCTCCCTTCTTCCTTTCCTTTTCCTCTGCCTCCCTCTGCCTCCCTCTGCCACCCTCTCCCTCCCTCTGCCTTCCTTCCCTCCTTTTCCCTATCTCTCTCTTCCTCTCTCCCTTTCCTTCCCTCACCTTCTCCCTCTCTTTCTCCTTCCC